AAAGATTGCACGGCAGATGAATCGCAGCAGGTCCAGAAGAAATCGATCTATATCATCATGAAAACTAGCCATTATAAAAACAGATCCAGCATCCGATCAATGCTGCAATGGGCTTACCATAGCTCATTTCCATTGAAAGAAACGTCGGAACCTTAGTGACAGGTAGTTCAACATCATTGCCGCCTACCACACAACACAAACGTTCGACTCCTTGCGGTTCTCTCTTCCCAAAGGCGAAATATTAGAATTGAAGAATTCATGAAAGGCGTCTCTGATCTCATCCTCCATTTCAAACTTTTCTCGGGGAAGCGCTGGGGCAGGCTGAAGAGGCAAAATTCGAGAAGGAAGTGATCAGGGCTGTAGCTTGCCTCAGAAAGAAGACAGCACCAGGCAGCCAGTTATCAGTCGGCTGCCTGGTGCAGTCTTCCTGAATCCACCGCGTCCACCCGTCCGATTACTCGCTCATAGACCACCTCCAGCGCTTCCTGAACGAAAGATCAAGACGAAGAATCGATTAGTTCAAAAAGGCACTCAACGACTGTAACCTAATGACGACAGCGCATCCCAATAATGGGCCACACTTCCTTGCACCTGAGAAGACTCATTTTTATTTGTCTGGCGACCATGTTCCAAAATTGTCCCTGTGCATTTTCGGATGCGGAAAACACTATATTCCTAACCAGTAATGAAACTATAGGAGTAATGATTGTTGACGAAACAACATAAAGGTGAAGTTTATACATGCAAAATGACAGCGGGTAAATGTTGAGCCCCAACTCCTACCTTTCTGATTGTGGAAGGGGGTAACCCACAAGCTGCCTGAGCGTTTGTGTTCAATTTTAGACCTGGATGATCCCAGACCGGAGCGCTTTCATTCAGCTAATGATAAGAATGTCGGCTTCGCGTGAAATGAACACCATCAGCTCAAACCCGTTAGCTGCTGGCTGAAGTTCTGGCGACAGTACCTATATGCTCTAGCTTCAAAGGCTCCTTTGCCTCCTTAGGCTGTGTCTATACACTGCGGGCTTTGATCTCGAGAAACGAACAGGTGTTTGGACCTTCAAAACCAGCTGGCCACGGACGTAAGCAAACCAGCCCTTTTGGCGCTTCGGCTGGGACCGTATGCTGAATGTTGGGGAGGGGATGGAGTCCCCGACGGTGGACGGACCACTTCAACTCGGTCCTTAGAACCGCCACAATTTGGTGCTTACCTCAGAACTAAGCCTTAAAGAGAGGACGGGTCCGTCCCCTCTCCAAGGCTTAGTCCTGGGGTGAGCAAACCAGCCCTTCTGGCGGAGCTGCTGGACCAGCTGCACCACTTGCGTCAGTACTCTCCTATCGTACCAACCGAGTTGAAGTAAACCGTCGACCGTTGGGGACCCCATCCCCTCCCAACATTCAGCATACTGAGGGCGGTGGAACCGAGGGGGCGTCGTATTTCGCGAGGTAGCGTTAATGTTACAGTGAGGGAAGGGATGATTTTTTATGAAGCGGAGAACGATTAGGTTGTAGGCTGGGGTTTTGGGTTGAGTGTTGTGTGGCAAATTTTGCTTTCATATTCGATATACACTGCGTCCCATAATTATAACTCCACCTAAGAATTTCCCAAAATCTCACAAATTGAGATGTATAAGAAAAAGTCTGCAATGTAGCATTGTAGTAAATACAAATACGAAATTACCTATGAACATCAACTTCCAACTTGAGACCCCAGGAATTTTTTCTAATAATTTTTGTTCAAAAGGCCACTTAGCCGACGTCCCAAAATTATAACTCCACCTCATGTTTTTCTATTATTTCTCACTTCCGTTTCGCCAAACTTTTTTATTGTGCTAATATCTTACTTCTCAAGGGGACAGTATGATAGAAAATGCTGTCTGACTTTTTAAAAGGTCAGCTCGTCGCAAAAACTGTTGAACAACGCTTTCTCGCCAATTTGGACCAAATTCACGCCAAGCTCAAGAATTTCTTCAGAGGTCTTACACGATATGGAGCTTGAGAGCTCTAAAGGTCTCTCATTGATTTTCGATAGAAACAAAGGCCGTGCCACAGAGGAAACATTCGTTTTTAGTAAGCCGTGCTCTGACATCGAATCTTCTTTGAAACTTAATGTCTCAACGGAACATTGTTTCTTGCTTGCGAACGAATCCCAAGTCGATTCTTGAGTGGAAAACTAGAAGGCATCATCTGTGGCAAGAAACCATTGCGAAAATCGGGCTGAGTTTTCCATGAAGGTGCATCGGAGCTGACTGGAGTAAGGTTCGCTTTTACTTGATATGTTGTAGCATTTGTTTGTTTTTCTTTTCGTGTCTTCTTATCCTTAGCAGCTTTTCTCTTCGCGAAACACTACCAGGAGAAAAGGAAATGGCGAAGAAGAAAGACGGACAAACGAATGCATCGCAGCATCGCGAAAGTTGAAAGCAGAAACAACGTTACACAGGTTCGCTGGGTTGATTATTCATGGTGGACAAAAATATCGCGATCAGCCAGATTGGATTTAGGCGCAGACAGTGGGTTTCTTCGGGTAACGTATTGCATGCTTCTTCTTATAAGTTCTCCACTCAAGATACGACTTGGGGCGAGTTGGTTGCCGAGAAGGGAAGAAGTACTCACTTCCCACGCTTTGATTAAGGACAGAATTTAGGGACCTTGTTGTAACAGAACGCCGTAGTATTTACACGCCGGGGCGCTTGTTGAGGAAGCGGTTCTATGTTAGAGTTTCAAGAAGGGATCTGCAATGGGTTGCGGGGGTGAGGGGCGAGGCGCGAGCAAGCGCGGAGAGGGCAGGTGGTTTTCGAATGGATCTGATGTTGAATGGCGAGGTCAGGTTGTTTTGAAAGCCGTGCAGTTTCAATTTTTGGAAGTGTTGCACGAGGGTGTCCTCTGAGTTGGGTTGTTGGGTTCGGGATTGCGAAACGATTGCAGGGCATATACTGTATAGGGGAGCGCTTCTGCGCATGGAGATTGCTCTGGAAGGGCCTATCGCTGACTATGGGCGTGTAAGAGGTGTCTGCGATGATTAGAACTCTCTCTGCCACGCGCTATTGGAAACGATGGGGAGTTAAGGTGGCCAGAAATTGGTGGGGAGGGACGCAGAGATATAAGGTTCGTCTTTTGTCTGCAACAGTTTTGTTCGAGAGCAAGCTATGATATACCGCGTATTCTTAGACATGAGTCAGAGGTGTGCATTTTACGGTATCATACTGTCCCTGTGAGAGAATTTTACCATTAGCCACGCTATTCAGAATAATGTCTCTGCGCATGCAATATAGGAGTATATGGAAGTGAGTATTAGACTATCCAGATCTATTGTTGAGTTTTGATTGTGTTATCTAAGGAAGACATTTTGGGAAGTTCGTTGTATAAGTAGCGGACCTTTATTATAGCATGATCAAATATATTTAGCGAAATTATATCTCCTGGTTGGTACATCAGCTTTGGAATGGTTAGATGTGTGAAATAGTTGAGGTTGTTACGTATTAATCCTTGTATTAACTCAATATCGCATACATTGCAGAACTTTTCCGATTAACTCGACACTCTCTCAAATTCTGATGAGGGAGAATTTCATGGGGAAAATCTTTTCGTCCGTCGTTGAGCATCCAATCTCATTGTGTATTGAGGGACGCAGGTGTGGGGTTATAACCCGCGCGCTCTCGCAGACAGCAGTTAATTTCTACGAGGGGCGAAAATGATCTCAAGAGGGCAGATGGGGTCTGTATACCGCGTGATAGGGAGTCATGTTTATCGAACTCGCGACCTACTTCAGTTGGACAAATGCATAGATGATTCGCCCCCATGGATTGGGGCTCAGATGGCGAGGAACGGGAGAGGCTTGCTTATCTTATGAGCAGTTGATCAACTCTCGGTCCTCAGTCTGGAACGTGTGTATCATTTCTAACAGCGCTTAGTGGTCAGAAGGCGGGGGGAGCGTTCGGTTCTCGAATAAAATCTAAGCACTTACGTGTACCCGATGAGGGTTCATGACTCTCCCATCCAGGTGGGCAGGAGTTCAGCGGTCACTCCCTCAGTGAGGAAAAGCCTTAACAGCGGTAAATGTAGAAGAACTGATCCCCAACGTTCAGCGTTGTTTGTCCGTGCATCAAGGTAACGAACAGGTTCCTTATCGATGATGATGAACCTTTGGAGTAAAACCCGCCTACTTGCCATCGCCTACCCACAAACGTTTCCTCCTCAGGTATTCCCATTTCCTTATGCAACCCTGTCACCTGTTAAACAGATCAATAGGAATGCATAACACAAGTCAGAGGTTTTTGTTTGTTAACTGCTGTACCGCACTTGCCCGGTAAGCAAGACGTGCAGGTTCGAGTCCCGTCCGGGGTGGAAGTTTTGTTCTCAACCCGGCATTCTTGAGAAGTCAGAGCTTTGTTCGAAATCGACTATGCACATCGAACGCGACATTTTTCATTGTACATAAACAATGTTGTGCTGAAAGGAATGGAGTTGGGTTTTGAAGTTTTATTCCAGAATAGCCAAAAAGAAATGGTGAAAATGTACAAACGTAATGAAAAGTATTTACACGGATGTACGAGCAACCGTACATAAATCCAGATGTACGAAATGAGTGCCTAGTATCGAACACACGGACCCGGGAGTACACGATTGCTGTTGGTGGATTGCCGACTTGAGTTGGAACTCCATTCCAATCAACAATCACTAACAAGAAACCATGAAGAACTCCTTAAAGGCTAAACACACTACGAAATACGGAATACGTTAGACTCAAAACACAAATTACATGAGAAGAAACGCAAAGCATGTTCTTTTTTTTTGGTTTTGAGACATAAAAGCCATACTTACGTTCTTTTATTAGGTGTGGCCTTTTAAATGTGAAGATAAGTGGAAACAGCTTGATTGGAGAAATGAAAAGGAATTATGTAGAACACCAAGTGTGATATTTCCAACGATACCAGAAAAAAAAGGTGAGGTCAATTGCATAATGCTAGAAAGGGCCACTACCAATTATTGAATATCGAGGCCTACTGAGCCGCCACTACGCCATCACCTCCGTAAACGCTCTCATCACTGTAGGCAATGTATAGAAAAAGATCCTCTTCGTGATGATCCTGAAATTCGTGAAGTGAAAAGGGTTCTTCTGGTTTACAACGTGTTAGAAACAACTACATTCTTAAACAAGCGAGGATAAAAACAGACACGTCCACATTTCTTCTCTTCCTCGGTCACCAATGTCTAATGATAACGAATTCTAATGACGAACAGACCATCGCGCACCCAGCCACCCAAGTGTTTTTTCACCGGTACCGTTCTGTGGGGATTGAACAGTATGGCACGGAATGCGATCTAGGCAGAACAGTGGGATAACCAAGGCGAAACTAATACATAGTGAAACTCCACTACTTATAGCCCACCTCACATGGGGTGGTCGACGGACTACTTGAACTCAGCCCTTTAAACCGCCTCTGCGCTCTCTCGCGGGTCCCTCTCCTCTCCAAGGCTTAGTCCTAGGGCATTCACCCGTTCTCTAATCGTCTGTGCTCTAGCCATCGCGGCAGGACCATTGAGGAAAAATCAAGTAGTCCGTAAAGGATTACGTGACTACTTGAACTCTCCCCTATGTGGTCGACAGACTACTTGAACTCGGTCCTTTATCCGCGGCTCATGACCACTGTGATCTCAACATTCAAACTTTTGCCACCCTGTAGTTGGCTCACCCACCTCGGAGTCCCTCCGCCTTACAAAGCTTAGTCCTAGTGCTCTCACTATCCTCCTTGGGATTTGGAGCCAAGCCAGGCACCGTTCTCTGTCTAATAGATCTCTTTCAAAATTACACGATTTTGTGTAAAATATAAAAAGAAACTCGGTAAGAAAGCGTCCCCCACGTGTTGTCAGCCTGTTTCTGCGTCTCGCCCAGGCCGATACGCGCAATGCTTACGTGTGCGAGTTTCTCTGCCCTGATCACGTTGCTCGAAAACATGTTTACACTATCAGTGAACCAACGATCTGACGAATCATCGCCACCCTTATCGCACAACTGTCGCGTATACAACCGATTTCGAAAACAAAACTGCGTCACACCCACATGGTAGCTTTTCTAGCTGCTTAATCCACAAATTACTCAACCGCATCTACGAGAAACTGCGTTCCATTAGACACATAGCCGGTCCATTCCCACCTTGAAATGACGCAAACAACACCCAAAGACAAAAGAGAGATGGGCTCGCTTAATAAAACTGGTCTTACGGAACAGATTTACAACAAAGCGACACGCGGGGTAGAAATAGATTAAAGGACCGGTTTCAGTAAACGCTGGGTAACAACACAGGAGGCTTTTTCGCAGAAAATTATCATTAGTTGCCTCAGCTTCAAGTGAGACTGCTTGGATAGAGACATACCAGGAAAAATACTTTTTATCTACTTTCAAACCTCTTGCCTCCACATAAGGCTGCAGATTCACAAGAATTTGTGGTGTTTCCTATCCTGAGAGGGGTTCTTTTTTTCATTGCTCATAGATAGCACTGCAATTTGTCATATGGCGAAAGCGTAATGAGGCACAGGCGATCGATACAGCCATGACCCAGCTGCGCGCAGCCGAGAACTCGCTCTGTACATTGCTGTCACGATCATGCATAGAACGCCAAAAGTGTACCTGGTAGAGTTGTCCCATTGTCGTCATCGTTTGAGGAATGACGTTGTTCACAAAGAAGAATAAGGCATCCTCAGGTCGAAGATGAATTCTAAGAACAGAGATTCAGAACAAATTCCCACGTGTACTTAGGCGGAACCTCACCTTTTCCTGATCAGGAAGTAGAACTGCCCAACGGTAAGGTCAGATGGGACCAAATATTTCTTCTTGTCTAGGTCTCGCAGACGAGACTTTGGGGCCCGTTCCACAATCACCTATAACACTGAAATTTAGGATCGACGGTGTGCACCTAGTATGGAGCATTAAGGGGTGCTAATGGAGCCATCATCCGAATGTTAGTGAGGAAACAGCCACCTAGCGATCTTGCCATGACCATCTCTCGTACCCGAACACACTAACAATACATTCCAGCAGAATACAGTCCAGCAGACTTGAAAAGCTTGAACATGCAAAACAGATGCAACTGACGGGAATTCTGTCCGGATACTTCCTCCTAATCTTGTCTCCCTCAGCACGGCGTTTTTCGAAGTTGTTCTCCTCTTTGTACGCCCACTTCATGATGAATACTAGCCTGGAAATAATTGGTTCAAACAACTGTATAAGCCAGAAACCGTATGCATGAGTCAGAGGCAGAACAGGAGAATGACGCGTACGATCACAGCACGATCGCTCTGCACAGTGGCGTCGATGGTGGAAATGATAGCACGGTATGTCTAAGACGGCAGACGAACCGCACATGTGACTAACTGGACGCAAAGAAAAAGCAGTGGCAACCAGCTGATGAGAGAAAGGGGAGTGGGCAATGAAGAGAAGATGGAGGTGATGAGAACGAAGGGAACAGACAAGGTTACGAGTGAGCGGGCTGGCCACAGAAACCAATGGCGACAGGACGAACCTGCGATCGATGTTATGAATAACTCGTAACGCAAATAGCTCACACAATCGCACTATGCACAAAGCACAATCGCGAGAAACGCTTCCACGTCAGAAAAAAGCAGCGAAAGTCTAGAAAACGGTCATCTGGCTCAAAGTATAGCGCGGTAGTTCGACAAGGGCTCACTTAAGCTACATCGACATACAACTGAAACGCCGAGAACCCAGCCGTACGAGCGACGACCTGCTGCTATATGAAGCGCGACCGCGCCTCGGCTCTGCCTTTCGCGATATTTCGCAACAAAATCGATGACGCCGATCAGCTGACTTGCACCGCCGCGATGCGGCCAGCCGCACCGCGACCCACCCTGAAGCAGGCAAAGCGCGCGCTACTCAAATCCCGTTTTCTTCGAGGCGGCGTTCACAGCTCGAGGACAGGATCACCCTGGTTTACGGACTACTTGAACTTTCTTCGGATTTATTCTACACAGAAGGGGTGGGGGGGGGGGGGGCGCGGAGGCATCATGATGCAGTTTCTCGGCGAACTAGTGTGAACTCGAACTTTCCAGCTTTTCACGTGACTGCCCTCACCCCCACCCCTAGACTGGCTACACTCCCCTGGCTCGGAGTTACCCTAGCTTTCTGGAAAAACTGCATCATGATGCCCCCAACTAGAATAGACCCCTTTCTTCCATGGTTCTGTCATGAATGGCGGAGACCACAGAGTTTACAAGATGGTATTATCTCATCTTTCCAATAAAAAGATAGTTCCAAAAAGTTTACACTTTACGAAGGATGAGGCGGCAAAGAACAGAGGTCAATCTTGGAGAACAGAGACCCATTCATATTGGACATGGCGTGTTGAAGAATGATTCAAAGCCTGTGTTGGTGGTTCATTATAAACTCTACTAGATCAGAAGTAAGCGGCTTAAATGACCCTATCGAGTCCTTATCCCTAATTTCATAACTTTCCCAATAGATCATATTCCTTGGTAACCCTTGCTCATTCCCAAATTTCCCGAACCTGTTATCAAAATAAAAGATTTCCTCTATTTGATCTATTTGCGAAGAAAATGAGGCTACCCTACTCTCTACATACTCTGAGTAATCCTAACTGAGTTCTTTTCATAGAAATTTCGGGCTATTCAAGCAAATAAGCATTCGTAACCTCAAAATTTAAGGTATGCTGTCGAAGTCAAGAGTGGTTTGACGACCTCTTCATTGCGCCCTTCTCGCAGAACGTGATTGCACTGACGCCAGTCACTTACACGCAGATCACAAAGACTGGTCAAACCTCCTTGCTCCTCATCATTGTTCAGCAAATGAATACACGAGAACTAGTCGCATGTCTTCGCTCCTGAAAAGAGATAATGTGGATTGGGCGTTGGGCCTAAAACATGGTTTTTGACCAAAAATACGAAACTGTTCTGCTGGACGAGGCAATATAGTATTGGCTTCGGAACCATTATTCATATAGACATGTTAACCTTCATGTTTATGTTCTGCGCATAGGAGGCTGAAAAGAAAACATGGGTTCTAAGGACTTAAACTATAATCAAAAATCTACAACAGCAGCGTAGGTCCAGAGACAGATATAAACAACCTAGAAGCAGACACACAATAAAGTTGCGAAACAACATA